CTCTCACACACACACACACACACACAAACCACACACACAAGAAACTCTCTAATATTCTCCTTCATTGATCTGTATGTCTGTCTTAGTCCATTTTGTACTTCTATAACATACTACCACAGACTGCGTAATTTATAAACAACAGAAGTTTATTTGTCATTCTGGAGGCTGGGAAGTCCAAGATCAAGGCACTTTTATCTGGTGTCTGGTGAAGGTCTTCTTGCCCTGTCCTCAAATGGCAGAAGGCAGAGGGCAAGAAAGAGACCAACATCCTTTGTCAAGCCCTTTTATAGGGGTAACTAATTCCATTCACAAGGGAGGAGCCCTCCTGGCCTTAAAAGGTCCCACCTCTTAGTACCATCACATTAGCCATTAAGTTTTAATACCTGAATTTTGGATGAGACACAAACCATAGTAATGTCTGTCTGTATGCCAATATCTCATTGCCCTGCAGATAATAAAATGTGGCTAGAATTTTAATAACACAACTATTTAAATTTTATTAAACTATTACATTCATTGGAAAGCATTCAAAAGCATACAGAAATTAGAGATCAATCTCAAAAATGCAACTGAAAGTAGTAAGAATTAAGACTTACTGGTTTTTTGGACGGAGGGTGTTACCCAACCTTAATAGGAGAAATAGTGGTTGAAAAAATCACAACCTTACTGGCAATATGTGCCAGAGATTGGAATTCAAGGCTTGAAAGGCTACTACAAATATAAGTAGGAGATCCTGGGAGTGAGAACCAAAGGAGAAAGACAGAGAACTGCCCAAATTAGTGTCTCACAGCTAAACTATTCTGGATGAGGGAGACCCCATGGAGCCTGGGGAAAGCAGGCAAAGACCACATAGTTGTAGAACTTAAAATTATACAAGAATACATCCATGACTTTGATGCTTTTCTTAAGGGAATGGATTCCCCACTGTGTGCACCTTGAGTGGCATAAAGCTGAAGCTTTACCAGCTTGAAATGTATGGGCATAGCCCTAAGCTGGTGGAGCAGCTGGACTACCAGAGAATCACTAGAATCAAGGAAACCACAGAAAGGCTGATACCCATTGCTGACTGACCAGCAAATTACATAGGCATAAAGGAAATCAATTCACAGGGAACCAGGCTAAATGAGCTGGAATGGAAAACCATGAGAACGGAGTAGAGATAACAATAGCTGCATGCCACAGGAGAGGTCATATTGGCATTTTGAGTCCAGACAAGTTAACTGTCAAACAGAAAGAACAAAAAAAAATCAGTAATCCTCAGGGGAAAAAAAAATGGAGACCAGACTCACTAAATATATTAACACCAGTGTCCCGTTTTCAATAAAAAGTTATTAGGCATATGGAGAAACAGGAAGAAAAGGCAGTTACAGCAAGAGACTCTTGAGTATATTCAAATGTTTGATTTAGCAAAGACTTCAAAGCATCTCTTTTATTTTGTTTCTATGGTAATTTTATTGATTGATGTTTGATTTACCTTGCATTCTACCAATTTTATTGATTGATGTTTGATTGATGTTTGATTTGCTTTGCATTCTACCTCCATGGCAAATTATTCTGAGAAGACAAAAGCCATGGGGATCATTGTTCTTCTGTTAGGCATTTAAAATCAAGAGTTTTGCACTGAAATATAAACTACATAAACATAGAGAATGGTATGCGTTGCTTTTGTATCCTTGAATGCTATAAAAGTGTCAGACATAGATTAGGTGCTCAATAAATATTTACTGAATGAATGAATGAATGACTAAAATATATACTAAAATTAGTGGTTGGCTTCCTGGAGAAAGAATTACAGATATCTTCCATCCATAATGAGGCAATCAAGGGCCTGATTATGTGAAACTAGTTATTAATCTTGTTTTGTATTCATGCTTTTTAAAAGATTTTTTAAAAAATTAATAGTAAATAGCAAAATAAATTCATTAACACTAGGAAAATATTGATAAGTGATGAAAATTTAAAACTATAAGGTACAGGAGGGGCACAATTAAATAGTTTTTGTATGAAAAGCATTTCTAGGGCACAATTTCAATTGAAGTATATGAATATATAGTTAAAATTTTTCAAACATTTGAATATGTGGTGTTTCAATAATTCTCTAATGGTTTATTGATTAAACAGAGATGTCAGTTTGTAAACTCAAAAACAAAGTGACCACAATTATGTATTGATGAGAAGAAATTAAAGGTTCTCTAAGCAAAGCATACATTGGTCATTTAGAAAATCTCTTTAATATGTTGTGGCATACAGCATGTTATTATCCTTTAGATCACTAGAGGGTGGCATTGTTTCAGACCAACACAATTTAGACCATTTCTGCAGTACCTGATTAACCACTTGGGTAGGGTGCTCAACTTAAGCACTCATAGTCTGCAAGATAGTTTGTGCTGTGCATTGACGACGAATCCCTTTAGCTTTTGTGTGATGAGGAAAGCTTTAAAGCACTGAAAGCTTGTTTTACTTTACAGGCAGCTTTACTCGTAATGTAAATCAGAATAGATAACATATACATACATGTTTTCATTACGTTATTTTTAAAAGTTCACATTTTTATTTTGATAAATGCAAAATTAGAAAAGTCATATCACGGCTGTCGGCTAAAGTCTACACTCAGTTCATCTGTGGCTATTGACTGTAGTCGACGCTTGTACCGAAGTGGTTAAAAAGTGCCACCCAGAATTCCACTGCCAGTTTCATATGAGATTTTGTTACTCCTCAGATCTTTGAAGTAACTATTTACAAGGTGAATAAGCAGACAACTTAGAATAAGATGAAGCAAAAATGCTGAAAGAAGTGTTTAAAAAAAGATCTGAAATGCAACACATTTAGTGCATTGCTGTAAACTTAGTAAAGGAGGCTAACATTAATTCTTTGCTAATATGTGTCCTGATGATTGTTGTGCTCATTAAGTCCATTTGGCTACAGCAAGCATTGCAATGGGAGAAATAAAAGTTTCAAAGAAGCAAAATATTTGTGAATAAAAATGAGAATTTTTGAGGTAACTGGATATTAGCTTTGCTTCCTTTGCTGTGTGAATCATGAAATGGTCTTAAACTTTTAAATATATCATTACACTATAATTTTATTAATTGCAGAAAAGTTACATTTGATATGTATTTTTTTTATCAAAATGCTTTGGATAAAGCTTCTATCTAAGAGTAACAACAAATATTATTTTACCTGTCAAATGACATTATTCTAGAAAAACATTTTCCCAAATAGGAGGTTGAGATTAATTCTAAATAATAAGACAAATGTTTGGGGAAGGTTTTTAAAAGTATATCATGTCACTATTCCTTCCTAATCATGACATTTTAGTAAATAAAGAAAGTGCAAAAAATTTTTAAATGACAGCAGAGCACAAATTAAAATGAAATCAGTGTTGTGATTAATGCATGCCATTAAAATGCATTTTAAATTGCATCATTGCTTTTCCTCCTTTAAACACTATATAACCCAATAATGATTATTTTTTTCAAGCTCTCATACAAAATCAAAACAGCACAGAAAGAAAGCATGCAGAGGGACATAATCCTATTATTGTCTTTTAACACTCATTTACACCCAAAAAGAATATCAACTAAACTAGGAAACGCAAAAAACTGAGTAGACTTGTTCTGAAAAATCAATCTAAGTCACTCTGAATTATGGCCTTCATAGTGCTATATGGTTAGGTCTAATTTCATAAATATGAGTGAAAATACAGTTTGTAAATAATTTTTAAATTCTTTTAATTTTCTGGGCATTGTGAAGAGGTAGAGAAACCAGGCTCTCCCAAGATTAGGGGAAAAATGGTCTTGCAGTTAATTTTCATCTGGTGAGAGCAGTTAGATATCAATGTAAAGAATACCGCTTCAAATAAGAAGACAGGACTGGGAAATTGCTAAGAGACTTGGGCACATCCTTTAACTTCATAGAGCCTCAGTTACCTCACCTTAAAAGGGGACTAATAATATCAACAGTACCTTGGAGGATCTCTGTGATAAAACGAGAAAATCCTTGTGAAAATACATGATATATGGTGAAAATACATGAAATTTTTGCTTACTAAAAGATGTTGCTAGGTAATTATGCCTATTTTTGCTGGATGGGTGTATTTCAAAGGCAGAGTTTCCATATGGATGAAGGCCTTTTGTAACATCTAAATACAGTTTCTAGTATAAAAATGGTCCGAGGCTTAGTAAGAGAATGCATCTCTCCCATGCCTCCACTGACTCCTCTAGGCTGGCAGCAGTTGATTTCACTACCTCAGATATGCAATGGCTGCCACCTGCCTCTAGTCACTTTTGCCCTAGTTGGCTTTTGGGTGAAGGAGGCAGGATTAGCTGACGGGTGATAGTTGGTACTTCTTTGTCTTTGAATTTTATCATACGATTTTTTTTGTTTCCGTGTCTATTCCCTTAACATCTCCAGACATTGTCTATTAATTTTATAATTTCAGCGACAGACCGAGGATAGGACAGTTTGGCCTTCTCATGATCAGTCTAGAGTCCCAAAGTAGGAAGGCAAAAAGTTTACATTCAGCGATGCGAAGGAGTGTGGCTTGCGTAGATAGCTTAAGGGCAAGTGATTTATCCCTTGCCAGAATTTAAAAAGGGCTTCAGGAAAAGGATCGGGTCCCTGTATGAGCGTCTGTGGATGGAAGAGGAGGGCGGGTGCTCAGGTCCTCGTCTGCAGCTAGCCTTGGTCGGGAAGCCGGCTGAGACGGTTTAGCTGCTCGCTGCCCACAGCCATTCCTCTGGCGGAAAACTGGAGGAGGCGCAGAGCTAGGCACGGAGGCGAGCGGGCGCCCCGTCTGGCTAGGAGCAGGGGCGTTTCGATGGGAGTCCGCCTGGAGTTTTCCCAGCCCAGAAGGTCTTGGGAGCAGGCAGGCAACAACCGAGAGAGGCGATGAGTTGCTTTTGCACTCTCCTCCCACCTCAGTCTGCCCACACCCACGGGCGCCCCGCCCCTCGGCCTTATAGCGGGGGCCAGGCACCTCGGCGCGCATAGGAGCCAGAGGCTTCCCGGAGCTGGCCGCGCCGCTGCCTCCGTCGCCTGCGAGCCCTGGCGCCGCCGCGGCCGCGGCGCGAGTAGCAGAGTGAGGCGGCGGCTGCGCCCCGCACCATGGAAGGCAGCACGGCCCCAGCCAGGGTCGTCACCAACCTCTGCCACCGCCCGCGCCGCATCTGCCAGCTCCCATTGCGGCTCTCTGGGCGCCGTCCCCTCCTCACCTCTAAGGCAACATGAAGGACACCCGGGGCGACGGCGGGGGCAACCCCTTCTGCGTCCGCCTCAACTACTCCTACCCGGGCATGTGGGCGCCCGAGCGGTCCGCGGAGGCTGGGGGCAACCTCACGCGCCCTCCAGGGCTGGGCGAGGATTGCGGGTCGGTGTCCGTGGCTTTTCCGATCACCATGCTGATCACCGGCTTCGTGGGAAACGCGCTGGCCATGCTGCTCGTGTCGCGGAGCTACCGGCGCCGGGAGAGCAAGCGCAAGAAGTCGTTCCTGCTGTGCATCGGCTGGCTAGCGCTCACCGACCTGGTCGGGCAGCTGCTCACCAGCCCGGTGGTCATCGTCGTGTACTTGTCCAAGCAGCGCTGGGAGCAGCTCGACCCGTCGGGGCGGCTCTGCACCTTCTTTGGTCTGACCATGACTGTTTTTGGACTTTCCTCGCTCTTCATTGCCAGCGCCATGGCCGTCGAGCGGGCGCTGGCCATCCGGGCGCCGCACTGGTACGCGAGCCACATGAAGACGCGCGCCACCCGCGTCGTGCTGCTCGGCGTGTGGCTGGCGGTGCTCGCCTTCGCCCTGTTGCCGGTACTGGGCGTGGGCCAGTACACCATCCAGTGGCCCGGGACGTGGTGCTTCATCAGCACCGGGCCAGGGGGCAATGGGACTGGCTCTCCGCACAACTGGGGCAACCTCTTCTTCGCCTCCACCTTTTCCTTCCTGGGGCTCTTGGCGCTGGCCGTCACCTTTGCCTGCAACCTGGCTACCATTAAGGCCCTGATGTCCCGCTGCCGGGCCAAGGCCACGGCTTCTCAGTCCAGTGCCCAGTGGGGCAGGATCACGACCGAGACAGCGATTCAGCTCATGGGGATCATGTGCGTGCTGTCGGTCTGCTGGTCACCGCTACTGGTAGGTAGTTCCAGGATGTGGGGATTTCAGGGTGAGCGTGTGAGCGAGCGATCAGGAAATGGAAACTTCTCGAGGTGGCAGCACCTGCGGATTTGTGTTTGTAATCTCAGAGTGTTGTGGAATCCTCTCCTCTTGTGCGGTCTTGGTTGTGGCTTTGGAGTTGAGCTCCTCAACTTACTCGTTGGGCACCTTCCAAGTGCTAGGCTTCCCATTAGGCACTGGTTATGCGCACATGGAGATGCCAGGGCTGCTCATATTCTAATTGGGGAGGAGAGAAGATACCCAGGTATCATTTCAGTGCATATGCGGAGTTAGAGGTTTGTCCTGGGTGTTTTAGGAGCAAAATGGTGATGACAACTATATAGCCTGATATTGTGGGTTTTTTTCTTTAATCCTAAGATCTCTCTCAACGTTAAGGGGATTTTCAGTCTGCAGAAGTACCCTAGCTGGAACAGGCATGGCCCTCTTGCAGCTTCTTAGACACTGAGCGCCTGCTAGGTTCACTCTTGACAGGAGGCAGGAGAGTGAAAGATACATCTTGCTTTAGCAGTGAGCCTTGCCCCTGGGAATGGTGCTTTAACCTCTAGGAAGCGCTTGATCCAGCAATCGATGGGACCTGGCAACCCAGTACCTCCCTCTGACCAGCATTTTCTTGTCCTTGTGGCAATCAATCAGGGCTGGGTTGTGGCCAATCCTGGGATAGGAGGTAGGGATTTCTCCACTTCCTAGCCCCTCACGCCAGCGCCCTTCAGGGAAGCAAGTGATGGCTCCACATGCTCCTTGTCTAACACCTACTGTCTTACATGGTATTTTTGAGGTTTTTGTCTGTGTTCATTCTAGCTAGAAATGTGTATGGGTAAGTGTTGTTTACTGATTCCTGAAGAATGAATGCTTATTTAGGCCCCTGGGAGCCTGGCTTAACAGATGTTGCAGAAAGAGCGACATGGTCACTGTCACAAAGTTATAACCAGTTATATATTGGACCTGGAAAAGTATTATACAGTTGTGGAAACCCTTTGAAACACATGGGGCACAGTTTTCAGAACCCACCTATGTGGATTTTCTTTTTTTTTTTTAATTGTGGTAAAATATATAACATAAAATTTACTATTTTAACCATTAGTATGTTTACAGTTCAGTGGTATTAAGTACATTTACATTGTTCGGTGCACCATATATAGCTTGAAATCCTTGTATTTTAAAATAGAAATGTAGTTGCCTTCTCCCTCTCATTCTCCCCAACATTTGACAAGCAGATATGTGAGGATACCTGTGTTTAACTGGTGTGGTACATTTGGAGTGCAAACCTAGGCTCCAAATCAGTGACATGTGGGGACAAGAAGAGTTATGTTGGGACCTAACTGCCCCCAAGTCACCATATGGTCATAGTTATGCATTCCAGGGGCTGGAACTCAGGCTGATGTCATCACTCTAGCTTATCAAAACCAGCACCAATTTTAGGCATACAGTGTTTGCTTCTGTGGTTGGGGAATGGGATGTGTAAGTGATCAAACAGGAGGGGGAAAAAGACTTTTAAATAATAAACACTTTTCTAATGTGTTCTAATTAACATATCTTTAAAGGCAGAGTATCTGAATTTTCACAACTGTCGGTTTGTGTCCCACAACTTTGGGTTTGCTGTATCACATGATTTATATACTAGAAAAAAATGCAGTTAAATCATATAAATAAAATGCTTACCCATACATACAGTTAATCATACTTAAATTTTGTTTGTTTGTTTTGTTTTTAAGTCAAAGAGGAACTATGTAGTGTGTTTTTATTTAGAAGCTTTAATTCTAAACCATGAGTATGGTGGCCTCAGAAAGAATATAGATCAATCTTGGAAATTTCATCTTAATATGGCCAAACTCACTGTCTTAAGAAAGAGTATATTTGAAACTAGTCTTACTTAATTTCAATTAATATCTTCATTCAGATAATATTTATTGATTTGTTGCATTTTATCAGACACCATTAATTCAGTTATCATCAAAATATTAAACTTAAATTCAACATGCAATTACATCGAAGAGGAGAAATTCATGGTTTCAAAATAGGTATTTTTTAAAGAAATGGTTCCATCTTCTGTTTTGTACACCATTGAAATTAAATCTCCAAATATCTTCAGAAAGATCTGTACAGTACAAAGTTGGAGCTATTTCAAGGAAAAGAAAGTGGCAAAACTGCTTTCTGAATAGGTTAGGGAATTATAAAAATGAAAACAGTAGAACTTAGTGAATTGAAATTTCAGCCTATTAGTGTTAAAATGAGATTTAAATTTTTTTTCTACCTATGGGTAAAACATAGATTTCCCGTTAGCTTTTGTTGAGTTGGGTATAGGATAGTAATCCAATTTTCCAAACTCCTTACTTGAAAGGACGCAGAGTATATCGTATCTTGACTATCATGACTATAAAAATATTCAGTTGTCACTGCTGGAAAACTTAGAGCAGAGACACCTTAATAAGAAAACATCCCAACTGCTACAAGTTACCACTGCATAAATACTTCAACAGAGGCTTAAGCATGGTGTAAACAGAAGCTTTCTTCTTTTTCTTTTTCCCAGAAACTTTGCAAAATACAATATGAGATGTGAAATTAAATGAGACTACAGTGTGAAGTAATGTCACCTTGATAGATAACTACAGTTCATAGTCACTGTTTTTGCCATTCTGTTGGAATCAGCCAGTTGACTCAGCAATAATGTTTGACTTATTATTGTTTTACTTTCTATGAGCCATGCTCACCAGAATACAGTTATTTGACATGATAGCTAAATTGCCAGAAGCAGACATAACCTTAGGGTTTTATTCAAAGGAAGCCATGATAACATTTTGTAGTTTTATAACCTGGCACTACCAAACAGGTAGAATGTGGCTTATAATGTAGCTATCTAAAAATAGTAAATATAAAGTTAACTATCAACATCATGAAAAGTGAGGTATGAGGAACAAATAGTTTCTCATCATCAGCCTTGGAACTAGATAAAAGCAACCTTGGAAGTTTTTGCCTTTAATCTTGAATCAGCAAATTCCCCACTCAGTATCCACAAATATAAACTGAGATGCTTCAATTCAAGAAGATATTTCATGATGTAGTTGTGATTTTTTAAAATTAGAGAATCACTGATATATTTTGACAAGTGAACTTTGCCTTTGATATGTCCCATTTGGTAGATGTATGTGATAGGTTATTTTACAGAAATAATATTGTTTTACCCTATATACAAATATTATTCAATTGCTAATCTTCTCTGCCTGTACATTTTTGCTATATTCAGAATGTTACTTCAGAGAAAGTGATTATGCATATGAATATACATTGTAGGAAAAATGTTCTATAATTGGCTTTTATAAGAGTTGAGATTATTCAGATTTCTTTACATTTTTTACTTTACCACAATATATTTTAGATACTGTGGAAGGGATAGTAAGTACACATTTTAAAACTAATCAATGAATTACAATCTGTTAAGAGAAACAACCCAAGTACCCATCAATTCATGAGTGGATTCATAAAATGTGGTATATGTATACCATGGAGTACTATTCAGCTTTAAGAAACAATGGTGATATAGCACCTCTTGTATTTTCCTGGAGCTGGAACCCATTCTACTAAGTGAAGTATCTCAAGAATGGAAAAACAAGCCCCACATGTACTCACCAGCAAATTGGTATTAACAGATATCAGTGGACAGTATTAACAGTCAGTGGACATTATAGGAATAACATTTATTGAGTGTTGGGCAGGTGGGAGGGGGGAGGGGATGGGCATATACAAACACAATGAGTGAGATGTGCAACGTTTGGGGGATGGTCACGCTTGAGGCTCTGACTCAAGGGGGGAGGGGGAGCATGGGCAATATACATAACCTTAACACTTGTACCCCCGTAATACCCTAAAATAAAAAAAGAGAGAGAGAAGCAGAATTTCCACATTTGTGAGTAAAACAATTAATTAAAGAACAATGATACAAGACAGGATGTAATTAATCTTGGCTGTCAGAAGAAAGTGGACCTGAATTTACCAGAGTAGACTCCCAGGAAGAAGAGAGTTGGCATAACTTGACCTCATGGCTGAGGGCCAGCATGCCCAAAACCTGCCAGAAGAAAACAGAGAGTGCACACTGGAACAATGGGGGAGTCATGGTTTGAAGATGTTCATACTGTTTCAAGGAAGCAGATTTGGGTAGTTAGTCCCTGAATGACAGGATGAGGACTCACTCCTTTGCCAAAAGGCAATAAAACCTCTGTTGTGGGTTTTTGAACAGGGATGATGGTTTATTGGCAGGGTTGTAGTTTGTGGATAGATTTGGGCTGGAAAACGAGGCTGTGAGATAAGTTATAACTTGCATTTGCAGGTCATTTGGGGCCTTAGGATAGAGAGAGTGGGAAGAGATGAGTCAGAAAGAAAAATAAGAGAGAACTGATGCTGTTAGAAATGGTCAATTTCAGTAGTGATTGATTCAACAAACATTTACTGAGCATCTACTATGTCCTTTGCATTGTGGTAAATGTTTTCACATACATTATCTCATTTAATTGCATCCTGTAGATCTATTATCTACATTATTCAGATAAAGAACTTGAAGGTAAAGAATATTAGAACTAGATATCTAATTCAGGATATCTTGAGTTTTCCTTTTGTTGTTGTTATTTGTTTAGTTTAGATAGAAGCCAGGAATTCTAGTCCTAACTGCAGCACTGGGCAAGTTATATATCCTCTCATCTGTAAAGCACAAAGATAAGACTACTAAATATCGAAGGTCTTTTTCCTTTTATGGTATTCTCAAGATTTCTCATTTGGGAGAATCATGGTTCAATGAACCAAAATGGTTGGTTTGGAAGGGAGAGTGTTTGGCAAATGTTATGTAAGGATGGTTCCCCTTAGGTGACTGGGGCTTTGGGACATGGAACATATGGAGTGATGGTGGATTATCTAAATGATATATTCAGAAGCCAATATAACTTGAAGATTAATGAGATAAATCAGGGCTAAAAAATGTAGTTGTTTTTTTTTAATTTTAGTTTATCAGATTGAGCCAAGAATTAAACACTTCTTAAGCCATCATCTTTGAAGAAATTCAGATGGTCTGGAGTTGTAGCATAATTGTGACTCACTGGCCTTTCTCCTTTGAAAAAGTTGTGAGGGTCAACAACTCAATTATAAAAGTTTCCATAGGTTCAGTTTTCTGGGAATAACACTCAGGAATATGCATTGCAAGCATTTGTGACAGACTGATTCATCTGGGAGTGCTGCATGGTGGTAGATGAAGGATCCTGGGTGCTACGTTTCAGTTTTCAGTTCCAGCCTTGCATTGCAGGGAAGCAGGGCCGGGAAGTCCTCCCTATAAAACTCCTTGCATTTTGTATAACATTTTAATAACCCACCAGTGTTCCACATTTATCTCATTCATGCCTCACAGCTCTAAGATCTACAAATGTAACATGTCAAATTCTGACTCCCCACTTTCCTCAATTCCTTATCATAGAGATAACCAAGTTTGTATTTCAACTCCTGCCAGCTGTGCTTCTTGAGGATTATTAAACAATCTCTCAAGTCCCCCTTTTCCCTAGAAAATGCCAGCTTTCATAGAAGACAGATGATAACCAAAATGGAGCCCAATTTTTCATGGGGTTCCCCTTATATCTTGCCCCCTAAGTGTATGGTAACATTTTACAATAAACATAGTTCAGACAATCCCTGACTTAACGATTTTTTTTTTAATTTTTTTTTTTTTTTGAGACAGAGTCTCACTCTGTTGCCCGGGCTAGAGTGAGTGCCATGGCGTCAGCCTAGCTCACAGCAACCTCAAACTCCTGGGCTTAAGCATTCCTTCTGCCTCAGCCTTCTGAGTATCTGGGACTACAGGCATGCGCCACCATGCCCGGCTAATTTTTTCTATATATATATTTTTAGTTGGCGAATTAATTTCTTCCTATTTTAGGATAGACAGGGTCTCACTCTTGCTCAGATTAGTTTCCAACTCCTTACCTTGAGCAATCTGCCCACCTCGGCCTCCCAGAGTGGTAGGATTATAGGCGTGAGCCACTGCACCCAGCCATGATCTTTCAACTATACTATGGTGTGGAAGTGATAGACATTCAGTAGAAAATGTACAGATTATTGAATTTTTATCCTTTCCCAGACTGGCAATATACCACACGATTCTCTGTGCAATGCTGGGCAGTGGCAGCCACCTGCAGCTCCCAGTCAGCCACGAGGGTCAACAACCTGTACTCTACAGTGAACTGTGTCACCACCAGGTGATTTTGCCAAACTGTAGGCTAATGTAAGTGTTCTGAGCACTTTTAAGCTAGGCTAGCCTAAACTCTGATGTTCAGTAGGTTAGGGGGATTCAATGCATCTTTGACTTAAAGTATTTTCAACTTTGAGTTTGTTGGGATGTAACTCTGTCCTAAGTCAAGTAGTCTCTGTATGTCATTCTTTTTTTTTTTTGAGACAGAGTCTCGCTTTGTTGCCCAGGCTAGAGTGAGTGCCATGGCTTCAGCCTAGCTCACAGCAACCTCAAACTCCTGGGCTCGAGTGATCCTTCTGCCTCAGCCTCCCGGGTAGCTGGGACTACAGGCATGTGCCACCATGCCCGGCTAATTTTATATATATATATCAGTTGGCCAATTAATTTCTTTCTATTTATAGTAGAGACGGGGTCTCGCTCTTGCTCAGGCTGGTTTTGAACTCCTGACCTAGAGCAATCCGCCCGCTTCGGCCTCCCAAGAGCTAGGATTACAGGCGTGAGCCACAGCGCCCGGCCTGTATGTCATTCTTATACAGAAAAGACGGTTGAACAGCGTGTGACTTCTTTAATGAGAGGCCTATACACACATGTGCACAGAAGTAACACTACAGAATGGAAATTCTCTGTGACTTCATGCAGACTGCCCTTTTTAATCAGAACACTTCTCTCTCCCGTTTTCAACTTTCCATTTTACCCCGCAGCCATTCAACAATATCTGCCGAGCAGTCACCCCTCTTGGATTGGCTAAGATCTCAAGTTAGAAGTCACATTCTTAGAGAAGCCGTCCTTGACTCTCTCTGGGCTTGGGGGCCGCGGCCCTTTGGTACCACAGTACATTGCATTTGCCTGTTATAGTCTAAGTCACACTTCACTGGACATACTGGTTACTTGTCTTTGTTCTATTAGCTCTCCTGAGTCTAATAGGACTGTGTCTGTCTTGCATGTTCTTTTCCTGGGAACAGTTATAATTGCCTGCCAAGGTCTGCCCAATGAATGCTATTGACTAAATACCTGAACACCAAAAACAGAAGACAGGGAGGGTCTGGTTCCACTTACACAAGCAATTATTGTGTGACCTTAGACAATGCACTTGATACCTTTGTGAACTATTTTCTTTGTGTGTGTGTGTGTGTGTAAGATAGAAACAAAAACACCTACCCTGCCCATTTCACAGGATTATAACAAAACCCAATAAGATTAATACATGTGAAAATAATTGGGAGGTGTACAGTGCTATGAAAATGCTTTATTACTGAATCCTTTTAGCAAGCTGGGAATATTTCTTCCATATTAGGAATATCACTGTGATGTTTTACTGGATAACAATGTTGACTTCTTGTGTCCAGATAGATATTTTCCCCAGGAAACTGGAGAAAAGAGGCAAGTAGTGTTTCACAGCTTGATTAGTTATAGTTCATTGGGGGGAAAAGTACAGTAGAGAATGTAACTTCCAAAAAAAAAAAAAGAAGAAGAAGAAGAAGAAAGAAAAATGGCAAAACACCTGTGTATAAAGTTTTATAAGGTGTTGTAATTAATCCCTCCTCACCTCCCTCTGCCGCCATCTCTCCTCTGCATTCTCTCAGCCATGGAATCCATTCCCCTCTGCAGCTGCCAGTTAGCTCTCTAAATCCAAAACACACTGGATCCCATCTCCCCTTTCCCTTAAACCCGGAGGAGTAGCCACTACCTTGTGTCCTGAAGACTCTGTCGCAGATCTGCAATGCTCTTCCACTCCCTGTCTGCAGTGAGTTGTGCCTCCCCACCTAAAAGGTCTTCCTCTGTGTGGGAGTTGAACATGGACCTAGCCAGCACCCACGTACTCTCGTGGGAGCCCTTTCCAGTCAGGGTCCTCTCCTTGTTGTTCTCTATGCACAAGCCTGTCCTCAACTAAATGTTGCATTGAATTAATTGTGCATCTAGCTGTTGTCTTAGGCCAAGTCATTTTGCAACAGTACAGAATTGAATTTACACAAACTTTATAATTCAACCAGAGTGTGATAATCATAGAGTTGTAAACTGCCTCATACAGTTTGACCAAGTCCTAACAACACGTTCATCTTATTTGCAACCCACAAATAGCACAAAGTGTTATCTTCCCAACCAGTGACTCTGCCAGATGTTCTGTGGGACAATGTTCATAAGAGGGACATTTCAGTGACTGAACGAGGTGCTTATTCAAAATCTATACATTATTTTAGCAGCACTGATTCTATGATAGGTATTTGGAGGATCATAAATCTAAAAATAAAAAACAGTGTCAGAAATGAAAGAAGCAGCTTGATTATTCACATCTTAATTCTGTTAGGAAAAAAGAACATTGCTAATTTAGCTAAAAGTCATGTAAATAAAACCTATACCAAATAGCATTACTATTTAAAACATCTTGACAATACAAAAACAAAAGGTCATATTGGAGCTGGAAGCCTATTCATTTCAAGCATTAATTGATCAAAAAAATCAAGTGTAGATTTTAGCGTTTTGTCAGAAGCGTCCGCGTGGCGAGGATGAGCCCCTGCTGATTTCCGTGCGGGCTCTTGTCAAAATGGTGAAGCTGTTTATTGGAAACCTGCCTCGGCAGGCCACAGAACAGGAGATCCGCTCACTCTTTGAGCAGTATGGGAAGGTGCTGGAATGTGACATCATTAAGAACTATGGCTTTGTGCACATAGAAGACAAAACTGCAGCTGAGGATGCCATACGCAACCTGCACCACTACAAGCTTCATGGGGTGAACATCAATGTGGAAGCCAGCAAGAATAAGAGCAAAACCTCAACAAAGTTGCATGTGGGCAACATCAGTCCCACCTGCACCAACAAGGAGCTTCGGGCCAAGTTTGAGGAGTATGGTCCAGTCATTGAATGTGACATCGTCAAAGATTATGCCTTCATACACATGGAGCGGGCAGAGGATGCAGTGGAGGCCATCAGGGGCCTTGATAACACAGAGTTTCAAGGTGGGATGTGTGTGGGCTGAAATTCCGAGCTGCGGTCGTGCATGAGAATACACCCTTCGTGGTACCCCATCTCCGGGACGTTCTCGGCTCTGTGCATTCAGTCTCCCAGGAACCATGGACCTTAATTTACCTTGCTGAGTTCAGACCTTCTCTTCCTTTCCTTTACTGCCCATTTTCCTATTCTTCCTATCCTTCAATACTTCTGTAGCCTCCCATTCATGTTCTATTCTCCCAGCAGGCCTCATTGTGTGCAGAAATTGTGGTGGGGGCTGAGCTACCTCCTCCCTGCTTCCTGCCTCCAGTGGGTTTTGAATTTGGGGATGACCTTGGTGAGAGTCTCACTGCTTCTGGATCTCTTTTTGGCCCAAAGGCTAGACCTATAGAGTTGAATCACTTTCTTTCCAGTGAAATAAATGGTTTTTCAACTTAAAAAAAAAAATCAAGTGTAATTAAAAAATATACTTTTCACTAATTATTTGATATATCTTGAGAGTAGATTTGATTTGTCTTTTTGTCTCTCTTTCTAAATACATAGTAAGTGTCATTTTCTATGGTTGAGAACATGCTGCTGTTGTGATTCATAAAAATTTGGAAAAAGGAGTAATGTTGTTAATGTCGAGAATGATGACAGAGAGATTATAAAAGATAAGATTCTGGGGAATTCACAAGACAGTAAAGTGGAGCACTAATTGCTGTCTTGATGTATGAAGTTTCCCTGGTAACTTCTTGCTACCACCCACCATGTTTAGGTCAGAGCTTCTGGCAGATCAGACAGGTCACATTTCCTCAAATAGAAGAGCAGCTCAATGGCTAGCTCCTCCACCTAGGAGGGTCAGTCAGTGTTAGGTGACCCTGGCTCATGAGCACTTCTCTGTGTTTCATGAGAAGCACAAAAGAAAGTTATTGAATAAGCAGGTGAAAGCCACAGAAAGAATAAGTTACTGGATGTCAGGAGACCTGAGTCTGGCCTTGGCTTTGCCACATGATGGAAGTCACTTTATCTTGCTAGTCTTCCTTTTTCTCATCAGTAAGATAAAATGATTACCAACTCTAACCTTTCTTTCAGTTCTGACTTCCTGTGGCTATAAATAGATAAAACGATCCATAGCAGATAACTAATCCTTCTGATACACAAACATAACCAGCCTGGTGGGTCTACTGCAGTTGTTCTGACTGCCACACAGTGCCACTGCTGCAGATTGGCCTCGTGTGGGCAGAAGGGCAGTGGTGGCTCATGCTGCCATGATGCCCCTGATGGAACATGCCCCGCCCACGCCTACTGGGTCTGTGCTTGGACTCCATCATCAGCACATTAATTCACACCCATGACTCCTGCCTTAATGCTTGTCTGTAATTACCCATAGCAGCACCACCGTGCTAGAGTAAGCGTGTGGACTCAGGTTGCTGCCGACCTTGGGCCACACGCCATTACAGAGCTAGCCTTTTCTCTTGGGTTCTTAGGCTCTCGGTTGTACTTAGATCACCCCCTGACAAATATGCAATTCCCTTTCAATAAAACATTTTTTAAGCCTTTCATGGCTTTTCCCTCTAGTGAATGTGGCCAAAGCTAACCTGCTCCAAGTTTCTTGCCTTCACATCTTGGGATAAAAGACTAGGTTTCTTGCTCTCCTTTTTCCCAGAAGGCCTTGGACCCCCTAAGCACCATCTACCTCTTCCCAAGTGACTAGCAGTGTATACCCAGGAGTACTGTGTGAGTTTTCCTTTGTTATGTCACACAGATTCTACTATGTAAACCTAATCATTCTACGTGTACCAAAATAAGTAATTCTTTTGCAATATCTGCTCCCATGTGATTTGCTTTGCCCACTTGGCCAGAGAAGTGGAAGTGGCTGCTGATGTCTCCTTTTATACATCAAAACAATGGGCACACCATTAAGACAATAGAAAGGTGCTTTGGGAGAGTGTCAGAGAGAACCCCCTCTCAATGCATCATCGGGGTTTGGGGAGTTAGGGAGGGCATCTCTGAAAAAAATGTCATTTATGATGAATCTTTAAAGGTGAGACTTTGAAGGAGAAAGAGCAGTATGTGAAGGCATCAATGTAGGAACAAGCTAGGGGCATTGGAGGAACTGGAAGAACATATGGATGGATTAGAGTCAGTAGAAGGGAGAGCACATTCAAGGCCAGGCTAGGGAGGTAGGCAGGGCCAGATAATGCAGACTCTTGTCATTTGTTCGGGAGTTTAGATTTTTACCATAAATACAATGGAAAGCAACTAGAAGCTTTGGGTGAGAGGGTGATTTGATCTACTTTGTATTTTAAGAAGATGGCTCAGGTTGCCTTATGGATCAGATGGGTGGGGCATCAGAGCCCAGTATTGAGGACAGATGGCAACATAGAGACATTAATAAAAAGCGAAACTTTTTTTCTCTTTAATGTTGCTTTAAAAGATGGGAGGGAAGTGGCTTGGCATAGAATTGGTGGGGGAGAGGAGATAGCAGTGGGTCTGAGCAGGGACACCCAGGAAAACATTGAACCAGGTGTCCTGGGAAGGGTAAGAAAATCAGTTTTTGTTCAGAATGTTGAAAAATATTATGAGTCAAATCAGGATTGAAGGGTGGGGGAGGGAGAAGCTCATTGGTAGATCGCCTTCAGATTAAGAATAAGAAATTTTATTTCATCTTGGGCAAGTGGTATTGCTTTTCAGTACTTCTGCTTTCTATTTATAAAATAAGAGAGTTCACTTTATAAAGTCTCTGAATTCACAGAAGTCGTTTAGTAAAACAACTCATCTAGTGTATGACCTTTCTAGAATATTCTTGGTGAAATAGTTCAAGCTTTGTTTGAACATCTTTACTTATACAATATTTGTTGCTTCTCAAGGGACACGAAGAATTTTCTTAAAGCCAAGCATTGTGCCCAGCTCTTACTCACACATAATTTAAAAAATTTCTTACAATGACCCTACAAGGTAGGCATTATTATCTTCAACTTACAGATGATGAAAAAATGAAAGCTGAAAGAAGTTGAGCGATTCGTCAAAGGTAGCAGAGCTATTAAGGGAACAAGCTGGGATTCACAGGCCAGGCTCATGCTAGGGGTAGAAACTGGAAGCTTGTAGTCCCAGCTACTCAGGAGGCTGAGGTGGAAGGATCCCTTGATTCCATGAGTTTGTTCCAGGCTGCAGCAAAGATATGATCGCTTTACTGCACTCCAGCCTGGGCAACAGTATCTAAAAAAATGAAATTAAAACAAACAAACCAAAAAAGAAAACAAAGGCCAGGGAGTGGGGAACCTGCAGCCTTGGGGCCACAATGTGGCCTTCTGGATCCTTGAGTACAACCTTTTGACTGAATCCAAATTTTACATGCCTTTTAAAATTATTGGAATAAAATTATTATCCAAACATTATTTCATAATTTTAAAAGTGAATACAAATCCCTTTTAATAAAGGGATTTGTTCTGTGAAGTTTGGATTTGGTTGAGAGGCCGAACTCAGGGAACTTGAAGGCCACATGTGGCCTTGAGGCTGCAGGTTTCCCACCCCTGCCTTGTTTCTATTAAACAATACTAAATTTATTTTTATTTTATTATTTTTTGATCATAAAGAGGCTGCATTTATTTTGTTGACAACTCAATCTCTGCATACATACTCTGTTGCACAAGTTATAAGTAGATCAACAATTATAGTAACCAGCAAACTCACAAGCATTTACGTAAAACTATTGCTGTGGGTTTTGGTGCATTTTGTGCCAGATAGTTTAGGAAATATGACAAACAAAGGAAATCAGCTATTTTAATTGATGAGAATCAACTTTCTAAAAAAACATATATGTCATCTCATAAAATTCTTAATATGTCAAACTCAGAAAAATTAATAACTAAATGACAAAAGGAACACTTTAAAAGAAAAGTTGGTGATAAAATGTTAGATTAAAATATTAGGTTTAAAAATTTTAGCAATTGCATTTAAGAACCGGAAAGTGCACACATATTGGGAATTTTTGAGAAAAGACCTGCATATTCTGTTTCACAGCTACTGCTCCATTCCAAAAGAATAATTCAGAGTTACGACAATGTCATCCCTGGTATAAAACATTATTTCATAATTTTAAAGAAACAAGATGGTGATTCATATATATGGGTTTCAAAATAAGATTCTTCCTAGTCCAAATAAAATAAGATAAAACAAATATGATCTCCATCAAATTACAAAGAAATTCTATCAAAATGTTGACCAGATAAAGAATCCAGATGTGGGCACATCAGAACAATTCTAAATTTACTTAAAGACATCTTTTATTTGTAAAGTTGTATGATAACAATCTACAACAGATATGAAGAATGCTACTACATTTATGTATGCATTTATCTGCATTTATCTGCTACTGCATTTATCTGCATCGGATATGAGGAATACTACTACATTTATGAGCAGGAAAATAACATGAAAATTACCTTGACAATGGCAGAGTCAGGAGCCATGATTTATTAATTTATTTAATAAACATTTATTGAATATCATATGTGAGTGAGGTAGTGCTACGGCCTGATGTAGCTCTTGTTTTCAGGGAATGTGTTGCCTATCAAACGATTCCCTGGAGAAACTTGAGTTTGATTTTAAAAAGCTGTGTTATTTTCCATTGTTAATTTACTATAAAGAAACAAAGCTGAGAACTATTTGGAATTCATTTGTCCATACCTGCATTCAACATTTGCTTATTGAGTACATACTATGTGTCAGGCACGGTTTTAGGTGCTGCAAATATAGCAGGCAATTAGGCTAGTTTCATGCTTGTCAGGGAACTTGCTTTCCAGTGGAAAGAGAGAGGCAATACACAAACTAGGAGTCAGAGTGTGATAAATGCCATTAAGAACATAAAGCAATGTGATGTGATAGAGGGAGCTCAGGGAACTTTTGTAGAATGGATTGTCAGGGAAAAATGCCTCTAAGGGGTAACATTCCAGCTGAGACCTGGATGAAAGGAAAGAAACAGGAATGAAGATCTACAGGAAGGGCATTCTAGGAGAGGGAACAGCAAAGGCTCACATCTGGTGTTCTCAAGAGATAGGAAGAGGCCAGTGTTGCTCAAGTGAAATGAAGGGCGGGAGGCTGGGACTGTAAATTGAGGTCAGAGAGGGTGTGGAGGACCAGATGGTGCAAGGCCATGCTAAGGAGTTCAGGTATTATTTTGTGAGAACCGTGGGAAGATGTGAAGCAGGGGATGGCATTATTGGGTTTATGTTTTTCAAAGAACTTTCTGGCGCCTTTGTGGAGACTGGATTGCAGAAAGGCAGGAGTGGGAGCAGGGACACCAGTTAGAAGGCTGTTGAAGTCATCCAGGTGAGAGATGATGACAGCTGGGATTGGAGGCGAGAAGTGGAAATATTCACAAAGTGTTTCGGTGACAGAGTTTACCGGACATTCTGAAATGTCTCTAATCCCTGTCCTGTGACTCTGACAAGAAACAGGACCCT